TTTTTAAAAGATGTTACCCAATAAAAACACAGTTTTCAGATATGGTGAAGATATTTGCTGGTAGAGGGTCGTCTTGACTCACAAATTATCCGGTGTCAATTAGTAACATTGATCAACTTCTTACTATGTGCCAGGCAACAAGGTAAGTGCTTTACATTCTTGCTATTCAAAGTGAGGTCCACAGACCAGCAGCATCTGAATCACCTGGGAGCTTATCAGAAATGCAGAATCTTGGGCCACCCCCAACCCAGACTTACTGAATCAGAAGCCTGCATTTTAACAAGCTCCCCAGATGTTTCCTATGCATGTTTAAAGTGTGAGAAAAACTGGTTTAAACACCTTATCTTTTTTTCTATCTTCCCTAAAACCCTATGATGTAGCATACCTGGCAATTATGCTTTAAGTTTTTATTAATTCAGCCATTAATGATCACCTATGTCTCTTATTTACCTAGTATAGTTATAGAAGGCAGAGAAAAAAGATGCCTTTAGTGTATATTAATCTACATAAATTTACATACAGTCTGCATCCTGTTTTCTTCTTTTCACCATCTTTGAGAAATGGACAATGGATTTCCATGTAATCTAAATAACTAAGAAGAGACAGGTACAGAATTAATGCAAATGTTGTAACGGATTCCCAGAGTGAAGAAAATAGCCGAAACATAAAAAACAGAAGGTACCAGACTCCTACTACAGAAGTTGGGCCTAGACATAAGTGAAGGTTTTATTCCATATCCCCTAATGCTCACTACAGCCCTGCTCCCTCTTCTACCCTAAAGAAGTTTTTGGCAGGCATTTCACCCATGGCAGAATCCATAGGTCTTTCCCTCACTCCAATGGAGAAATAAAACAAATACTTTATATCATTAAAAGAAATTTAAAGTACTAAAGCACAGAGTAGCTCCCTGGACCAGGAATCACCTGTACACTGTTTTTCTATGAGACAGCACAATAGTACAACCTGTTACCTCTGTAAGAATAGCCCTTAGAGAGCTGGCATCTTGGGAAATCATCCAGTCCAGGGATAGAAGTAGAGCAAGACAGACCCAGGATGGGCAGCAGCGGTTAAGAAAGAAAAAGGAAAACAGATGGTATACAAACCATCTCATTAAAAAGATGAAACTGAGGAGTTAATTACTGATTACCCGAAAACAAGAGATCCAAACAAGAAAAATACATGTTCATTAAGAGAAACCACTATATAGTCTATAAAACTTTATTAAAATTGGGATTACTTACAAACTTGTACAATAAAGATGAAAAAATATATAATAAAACATTGACATTTTTTCTTACAGAAAAGAGTGAAAATGGGACCCATGGCAAAGAGCCATCCCTGATCATTTTGTTCCTTTCAAACAGCCATGAATATTTATTTTAAATATAAGTGAAAAATATTTTTAAATAACACTAAGGCATTACCCACAGGCTAAAACTTACCCAGTAACTCCTTACCCCTGCTATTTCACCATCATGGTAAACTGAGGCAATTACAGGCTGTAACAGTTCTAATACATTATGAGTTTCTATTATGTTAACATAATAAAAATGTTGCCCATATCGTAGTAAAGTTAAGAGAATGTGATTTCACCATTTTCAAGTTACTGTCAAGAGTGTGAAGAGGAAGATGACACACATAGGTTGGGGCATGGGAAACCAAAGCCCCACATTTTGGGAGGCTGTGTGCCACTCCCATCCTCACTAAAGCTGTGTGTTGACATTCATGTGAATCTACGTTGTCTATTCCCAGCAGACTCTGGCTTCCGTCACATAAGGCACTGAACACCTTTTTGAAGGTAATAACCATACAGAATCCAACTCAACAGTAACTGAATCCATAGCTAAGTTAGCAAGAGACACCACCGGATTACAATTGCATAAGTTTCCCTAAAAAAAATAATTTCTGCTACATCAAAACAGAAGCAAAAGGTTTTAGATGCATTTGCCTTGTACAATGGCTATTTTTATGTTTATTCCTTGACTTCTGTGCCTATGTAACATGAAGGAATAACAAATCTGTCAAACTGTCCTCTCCTTGGTTCAGATAAAATTCTTGGCATTTCAATATAGGTTATTATCTCATATGTCAAACCTGAGTCCAAAGGAATACAAGAAAGACATTTAATTTCCTTTCCTCCTACTTCAACTCTCACTACTCAATTCAGAGAAAAATTATGAGTACACAGCTAAGAATCATTTTTACGCAGGCATCCATCTGAGCCCATCTTTTTTTTCCTGGCACAAAAAGATTGAGGGCAATTGCATAATCCAGTCCCAAGCCTTTTATGGGTATCAGGGCCTGCGGGCACTACCTGGCCTATTTGGGTCCTTTCATTCATCATATCTCTGTCATATATGCCCAGTGGAGACTGGGCTGAAGTTGAGCACAGTCAATGAAGAGAGGGATAGGCCCTAGAGTGGGATGTATTAGCACAAAATCAAATACTGGAACTATAATCAGCAAAATCTCCTTTGTACAAGAAATAAAAATCATGAATTTGGGGGGAGGAATAAACTAGTTTTGCCCCGATGAAGTGGCTGATAGAAATTTTTTAGAAGATATCAAAGTTGCTAATTTTCCTTATTTTTGGTCATTGGTCTCATGAAAGCAATCCCAGTGAGAAAGTTAAGGGGAAATGTTTTAGGCCAGTGGGCTCCTATATTTCTATTAAAGAGAGACATGCTCTACACAACTTAGGCTGATTAGATTCCCGATGCTGATGAGTCCCTGGGCTCTAGGGCCAACTTACAGCTTGGTATTTGCAGAGCAAGATGCTGACATGGCAGCAGATGTGGTTCCAATGTCCAGCTCACCCCATAGTTATCCCTTCAATCCTTCTTGATGAGATCAGTCTGAGAGATGAGACTATTCTGAAATTGCAAGAGCTGTAACTGCCAGAGAAAATTAAATGGGGGCTTCAAGTAGTGACTGAACCAGCAGACTAAATGGCCAAGAGGGAGCCAAGAGCAGATTCTAAAGAAGGTTCACTAAGTTCAGCAATCTCTGGAAACACAGAAGCTCTGAAGCATCTCGGGCAGAGCCACACAGGCAGGCAGGGCAAGGACATGCAGCACAGCAAAGGCATCGTCCTTCACTGTATGAGAGCAGCTCTCATACTGTGGGACCCTATGTCATCTCCATTGCCTACAGCTCAGTCTCCAACTACCAGACAGGAAGTAATATCTGAGTTTGATTTTACTCACCCTAAATTCAAACACAGTGAAAACAACTGGTCTTGAGATGGAAACTTTATTTCACAAGGAGTTTACTAAACATAAAAAAAGAAAAATCTTTCCTTTAACTCAATGCTTTCTCGCTGAAATAAAGACATGAGTCAGGAAAAGTCACCCGGGAGACAAGCTACCACCCTCCTTAAGTAGCTATTTGGGGGAAGGCACCAAAGTCTCCAGGGAATCTAAGACTACTTGTACAGCTGAACTACTTTTTCAAATCAACTTACGTTCAAATATCCTAGGTCTCAATTTCTGTAAATGAGGACAAAAATAGTACATTCTAGAGGTCTTAACAGTTTTTGTAGAGGGATAAAATTTTACCATGTACATAACTCACAAAGGCATTGAGGTTTCCCAGTATAAAGCTCCTTTACTGTGCAACTTTAACCCACAGCACCTGCCCCAAAACTGCTTATTTTTCACTTTCCACTATATGTCTGTCTGCTGCCAATTGAGGTAGTTGTCACGTTAGGGCAGTTTAAAGCTATAGGGAACACTGCTGGAAATAATCAACTGGCCACCTGGAGGGGAGTCTTAGAACTGACATTTTGGACATCAGTAATGGAGCCCAGAGCCTTTCAAAATTATCTGCTAAATGGCTGGTCTGAAGGAGTCATTAAGAATTTTTTTTAAATCATCTTTATGATCATGGTAATCCAGTAAGTCTAATACTGTGCTCTTACCATTACTGTCTATCTTCCTAGTTAGAGTAATTATAGCTTTTTTCAAGGTATGAGGGTGAAGATAACAAAGACAGAACCAGCTAATGACAGAGATGGAAATTTACTCCCTTATAAATGGCACTGCTGATTTATAAGGGTACTTTCCAATGGCAAAAGAATCTAAAACCACTAATGCCACTATAATAATAGGCAGCATGAATCTCTGGTCAGAAATGGAAATGCAAATAAGTATAATAAATTCATAAAAAAAATGTTTTGGGCCCTGGCTAGGTAGCTCAGTCAGTCAGGGCGTCGTCTGGATGCACCAAGGTTGTGGGTTCGATCCCCAGTCAGGGCACGTATGAGAATCAACCAATGAATGCATGAATAAGTGGGACAACAAATCAATGTTTCTCTCTCTCTCCCCCTTCCTTTCTCTAAAACCAATTTTTAAAAATGTATATATGAACCACCTTAAAAAAAATCTGATCCTGATGGCTGAATGAGCACCCAGAGGCATGAAGATTACCTGGAGGTCTATTTTCTAGCAATACAAACTGTGGCAGCTACATAGCTACATCTTGTATGTTGTATCAAGAAACTTCATAGTTTCAGGGCTTACAAAATTAGCCAGATTTCATGGGTGGAAGGGTATAGGTGATAAGGAAAGAGAGAAAGGAACAGGAAGAATGAGTAGACAAAGGAAGGAAAGAAAAAGGAGATAGCTTCCTGACTCCACAGCAACACAAAGATATGTGACTCATTGACAAGAAAAGTGGAGAAGCTGTAAAAAACCATTTAAATCCCCTAAATAAGACCACTTTTCCAAAATAGCAGGAATAATGCTAAAAACCAAGGGGAAGAGACTGTAAGAAATGAAACAAACTCTGAATTGTCCATACTTCACAGGTATGGGAACAGACCCTTTGTGAAAGGGCAAAGGGAGCTAGGAGGATGAGAAGGAAAGAACACAAATTTCTTTTTAAGATGGAGTTGAAAGTTGAATATAATAAAAAGCCCAACAGACCTCCCCTGCATTAGAGCCTATAGGCATGTTTCTAAAAGCAAGCAGGACTCAGAATATCATACGTATGAGAACCAATTCAAAGATCAACACAACAGCTTCTGGGGCTTTAATGGATAATTCATATCAATAAATATGTAGGGGCCTATCACTCTGGAGCACTTGCTGGTTCTGGAAAGCGAGTTTCTTACATTTTAAGAATAAGAAAAACAAATAAAAATCCATTTTCCTCTTTAAACAAGGATTATCCTAAAGTCACTGAAATAAAAGTAGAGGTGAAGGAGGCTCAGATTTGTGGATTTCTCTCTGGAAGATAACAGCCAGGATAACAGTTCTCACTTCTGGGTGCCAGCCACAGTGGCAGAAATGCCACGACTGAATCAACTTCCAAAGAGGAGCTAGAATGCTGTGCTAGCTGTGCTCACCCAGTCTCTTTGGAAACATAAAAGGTGAGCTGACTGCTTAACCAATGGGAAGCATTCACTACTTCATCCACTCTCATTCCTCAGGGATCCCACAGAGACCACCAAGAGGGAGGCCTGCTCAGGCCTCTCATTTCAGTGGGAGAATTCCTGCACTATCTTGCTCTGTTTCAGAATTGAGAAGCAATTGCACAACACTTGTGACATGGACCATCAAGGTACCAAGCTAGTCCACATAAAAATAACTGACTACCACCTAAGTCAAAAAGTTGTTCTGCATGACAGTGGGGTACCGAGAATCTGAGCCCTCCTCCTCAGAGGATGTTTCTTCATAGATTTCATCCTGGGCAATAATGCTCCCTAATCCATACTCCTGCTCATGGACAGAAACCTCATTTGGTGTGAGGTGAAAAGAGCCTTCCACGAAGTCAGCAAATCTGGAAAAGAGAAGATAATATTCATTAGGAACCTTCTGTCCTTTCTAGTTTGATTTCAAAATAAGAATAAATTGAAACCCTTGATATGCTCAAATTATACTGAGTCTAGACAACATCCTGTCCTTATTCTGGCAGTTAAGTAGATTAAAGCAAGAAACAAGGAGAAAAGGAAAGCTGGGGTCATAGGCCAATATCCTCTGGAACCCCATCCTGCTTAATAAGCACTAGGCTATCCTTTTTAGCTATGAAAGTGCCAAGGTTTCTTTAGTCATCTGTAATCCTGATAAGAAAAGATTAAGGGTCATTCATGTTTATGGTCCTATAAACTTTATGCCATCAGGATTCCAAATTGAAGCTTCACATACTCACTGGTATAGTTGCTGCCCACAAAAAAAGGAAAAAATATCCCACCTCTCTCCCCTGCAAATAAACAAAGAGAAAACACCACTCAAAGAGCAATGCTATACTATCAGAGGGGACACCTGACATGGTACCGGAGTCCTCTCACCTCTATGCTACAATCAAAGCTAGAGTAGACTGTTCCTTTAGGAACCAAAAAAACAAGTTACCGCTTAACATACGATGATCTACATACCTTTCTCTTGACTACTAAATGAACAGGAAAATAAAGCCATAAATATAAAATGATTACCTAGAAGTACAATCTCTATTAAACTCAAGGTCACAATTACCCTGACAGATGCTTGGCATATCTGGCCAAGAATTTACCTCTTTGGAGACTGGATTCGAGAAATAGTCTTCCAAGCAGAGCAGTCTGGACTGTTACAATATTCTCGAAGCTCCTCTAAAGCCTTTCGGGTCTCCACCTCTCCTTGTATCCGATATTCTTCTTCTGTCAGAAGACGAGGGGGGACAATCTTTTCTGTTGCCTTACACATCTTTCTGTGCTCACCAAAATAACACCACGAATCATTAACCAGTAATCCACATGCACCCTTACCTCTAGCTCCCTTCAGTGGGCCAGGCATACATCAGAGAGCCTGAACTTTAAGAGTCATCGCTCCCACCTTTCTTCTACAGGTATCTTTAGTTATAATGTACTCTTGACATGTCAGACTATTAGTGATGTCAGAATAGTCAATATTACTCACTAATGTGAATAAATTCACTTATTTTCTAGTAAATGATAAAGTATTTATTTTCCAAAAACTGGGAAAATTACTAAAAATGATGGTATATGGTTGTGGTCCACTAGGTATCATCTTGATTATCTGTAATAGAACAACCACTGACAGCCTCAGACGGTTCCATATTCGCTATGCAAGGTAAAAACACACTGTGAATTACATCTTAAGACTAGGACTCCCAGCCCTGTCCTGTGTGACTCAACTGGTTGGGCACAGTCCAGTGCACAGAAAGTTTGCTGGTTAGATTCCAGGTCAGGGCACATGCCTGGGTGGTAGTAGGCTCCATCCCCAATACGGGGTATGCAGGAGGCAGCCATCAAGGTTTCTCTTTCTCTCTCCCTCTCCCTTCTTCTCTCTCTAAAAAACAACAACAACAAAACAAAAAAAGACTAGGACTCCCAGAGCAATCTGAGAGCCAATGTGAAATACTCTGAAAACAGGTGACCTGAGGCATTTACTATAAAAGTAATATATTTTGCACCACCTAGTGGTAACAGGAACACATGACACTTTACTGGATGGTTTTATATAAAATGACTAGAATAAAATTATAAAAATGCCTATAGAGAGTCTAAAGAAAGAGACTCAGGAAGGACAAAATCAGAGGCAATGATACAATACATTTTCATTAGCAAAGAGGCTCCCAGGTCAACACTTCTGTATCATTTTGCTGCAACTGTATCATACACTGCACATTTCAAGTTACATTGCCTTTCAGTCACCTGTAGGTGATGTACAGCCACCGAACAGGGTACTCCAGGTTCTTAGTACACAGTGCAATGATGATAATGGCAAAGGCAACATGTGGTATCTGGATACTAGAATACATGAAACACAGGCCCATCAGCTGCAAGGTCCAGGTCAGCAGGTTGATACTTCGTTCATTCTCCAAGGGCCCATACTTGTAACAGACTGCAAAACTCATGAATCCAACTGTGAGGACATAGCCTATGAGAAGAGTTAACAGAAGACATTCTTTTTCATCTGTAACTAGTAAAGTAATTTCTGTAGGGATCAGCAGTAAATACACTATATAGCACCGATTGAACTGGGGAAATGGACAAGATCTTTACTTGATTATTCGTATTTTTTTCATTATTCAGATTTATTTAGCACTTTAAGCTTCTATCCTTTCTTTTGTCCCAAATTTATTTGGGTCAAATGGAGCCTTGCTACACATTGAAAAACTCTAGAGTAGTCCGTTTAAAAAAACCTAATAGAGCCCTAGCCGGTTTTACTCAGTGGTTAGAGCATTGGCCAGCAGACTGAAGGGTCCCAGGTTCGATTCTGGCCAAGGGCATATACCTCGGTTGCAGGCTCGATCCCTGGCCCTGGTCAGGGCATGTGCAGGAGGCAACCAATCGATGTGTCTCTCTCACATCAATGCTTCTCCCTCTCTCTCTCCCTCTCCCTTCCACTCTCTCTGAAAAGCAATGGAAAAAATATCCTTGGGTGAGGATTTAAAACACACACAAAAAACAAAAACAAAAACCCAATATATGAAAATCCAGATTAATCACCCCTCAAAGGGTAGATTAAAGGTTACTATCTGTACAAACAAAGGATTCTTGCTTTACAGATCAGATTCACTGAAGAGTTATTCCTTACAGTCCTCAAGTATATTTGAAATACAACTATACTGACAAACAATCCAACTGAAAAATGGGCATAGGACCTGAATAGAAACTTCTCCAAAGAGGACATACAGATGGCCAATAGACACAAAAAAATGCTCAACATCACTAATTATCAGAGAAATGCAAATTAAAACTACAATGAGGTATCACTGCAACCTGTCAGAATGCCTACCATCAATAAATCAATAAACAAGTGCTGGTGAGGATGTGGAGAAAAGAGAACCTTAGTACACTGCTGGTGGGAATGCAGACTGGTGCAGCCACTGTGGAAAACAGTATAGAGTTTCCTCAAAAATTAAAAATGGAACTGCTGTTTGACCCAGCTATCCCACTTCTAGGAATATATCCTAAGATTCCCAAAACACCAATCACAAAGAATATATGCACCCCTATGCTCATAGCAGCATTATTTACAACAGCTAAGATCTGGAAACAGCCCACGTGCCCATCAGTAGATGAGTGAATAAATATTTATACAATGGAATACCGTGGAACTGTAAAAAAGAAGGATCTCTTACTCTCTGTGACAGCAGGGATGGACCTAAACATTATTATGCTAAGCGAAATAAGCCAGTCAGAGAAAGACAAATAGCACATGATCTCATTTATATGTGGAATCTAATGAACAAAATAAACTGATGAACAAAATAGGTCCAGAGGCACGAATACATGGAACAGACTGACAGATCTCAGAGGAGAGCTGTGGGGGGAGGTAGAAGGGATTAACCAAAGAACTTATATGCATATATGCATAGTAGACAAAGACGATAGTGTGGTAAAGGCCCAGGGTTGGGTAGGGGCTGGGTGGAGGGGGGCAAAGGGGGATAAAGGGGGAACATCTGTAATAATGTCAACAATATAGAATAAATAAATGAAATACAATTATATTAATAAAGTCAATTTACAGTGTTTTCAGAAAGATGCCTATCATGTAAAGAAAGGTGCGCTTGCCCGGCAGGTGTGACTTAGCGGTTGAGCATCAACCTGTATGATCCAGGAGATCTCGGTTCAATTCCCGGTCAGGGCACATGCCTGGGTTGTGGGCTCAATCCCCAGCAGGGGGCATGCAGGAGGCAACCTATCAATGACTCTCTCTCATCACTTATGTTTCTGTCTCTCTCTCCCTCTCCCTTCCTCTCTCTGAAATCAATAAAAATGTATTATTAAAAAAAAAAAGAAAGAAAAAGTGTACTTCAACAATACAAATTAAAGTCTTCTCCCAAGCAGCATCATTTTAATTTAAGAGAAGGTAACAACTGTAGAGGGGTTATAAATAAGTGAAGAACTATGATTCTTAAAAGTTAATAAAATGGCATGGATTATTAAACTCCTAAAAGTTAATTTCAGGACCAAATTAACTAAACTAGCCTATAAACATATAAAAAGCAAAACCAACAACACTTACTTAAAAGATACTGCCAGTAGCACCTCCAGATCTCTTGTAAATTTTTAAAAACTAGTTGAATGAGGTATAGTGAAAACGACCAGCCTCCCACCAGGATGATGTAAATGGGACTTTTCTAAGACAGAGTAGAAGTGAAAACAAAAAGTTACAAAAGGTTTTCCATACATAAAAGCAAAATGAAACTATGTTTAAAAAAATGTCAAACTACTGAAAAACACATCTCTTACAAAGATTTCCTATTTAAAATGGTAGTCTGCAAAGAACACTGGGAAAATGAGATGTTAAATAACTTAAAAGCCTGACTATGTAGTTAGCAAATAGGAAGGAGACTTTAATCCCCACAGAGCACAAAATTTTAAATAAAAAGGGAGAGTTTGTATATAATCAGGCTCCAAGTTTCGTCAAGGGAAAGTACCTTTCTGAATCAAGGAAAGAGTAGGACATTGACTTTAACCATCAATGCAAACTTTAGTGCTGCTAGATTACCTAAGAGAACTGTCTTTCAACTATCCAAGCTCACCTTAACCACATGAGTATTATGCTACTTACCTTGGGCATAAACTTGGACAGTATGAAAATGATGATTAGTAGAGAAGCTACAATTCCCACACTCATCCCAGTGGAATAATAGAAGATTTGGCTTCTGCAAAGAGAAAATTTATTTTATGACGATGTGTGTAATTCTTCATATCCCAGCCAAAAGATAGAAAAAAGATACAAAATTAGAGCAGGTATTTGCCTAAAACTTGAGGTCAGAAAACTGAAGAGACTAGAACAGTGTAGTTGCTGCCAGATGATGAGGATGAGTGTCAGTGAGGTCCCCTCAAGTATATCCCAATAATAAACCTCTGCTTAATCTCCCACTCTCATCCCTAGCATCTCTCCCAACTCCATTTTTAATAAGAATCTTTCTTCTGAGGACCTGTACAGCTTCTCTGGGAGAAAAAGGGACAAGAATACTGCCCTTATGGAGACTGAAAACTGGAACTGAATTGATTACCCAGAAGGATAAACCAAAAACACAGGGCCTAGAACAGAGAGCTCCTACTCCTATTCCAGGCTCTTTCTATCAATTACTTCTCCCTCACTGAGTTTCTCTCAGGATCCCCCAAAGAAGGAACAACTTCCACCAACCTCTCTCCAGCCCAACTTCAAACTCCAATTGTTAATCTTTCATTCACTACTCCACAATATTTTTACTTGTATACAAAGTTAATGTTGATTCTACCTTTGTTCAATGTTTGTTTTTTATCTTTCTTTATATTTGTACATGTCAGTTTCACCTAGCTTAGCTAATTGGTTCCTAAAGGCAGGAAATGACTAAGTGGTTAATGTCTGTCTCTTCTGAATGGCATGAAACTTATCAATACATAATCCAGTAAAAATAAGGGCTTAACACATTATTTCCAGTGGTGGAGAGTGGTTGATGTATTTATTGGCTAAATCCCATCACAAGATGGGTCAACTTAATAGGGGGACTTCATTATTGCCAGTCTTTTTTCTAAAAAATAAATTTTCTTTATTTCAGAGAGAGGAAGGGTGAGGGAGAAAGAGAAATATCAATGATGAGAGAGAGTCATTGATCAGCTGCCTCCTGCACACCCCCTACTGGGGATCGAGCCTACAACCCGGGCACGTGCCCTGACAGGGAATCGAACCTTGATCTCCTGGATCAGAAGTCGATGCTTAACCGCTAAGCCAAGCTGGCCAGGTTCATTATTGCCAGTCTTATTCAATACAAGAAAAAAAAGAAAAATCGTAACACATATATTAAAGTATTTTTAAAAATTATCCAAGCAGGCAATGGCCTGGCCATAAAGGTCCTGGAAAGGGAAATGGCAGCACTTGAAGTTTTTATGATAAAAGCCAAGGAGGGTGGGTCTGAGCCTCGTCATTTCACACTCCAGTCTTGAAACTTACCTGCTCAGCAAGTCGCCACAAAAAAATAACATAAGTCCAAGGAGGAAAACGAGAAAGAGTTTGGGGTCAAATCCTGAAATAAATAAAGACTTCTGCTTAATAGGGGAACCAAACAGTTTAAGGCATTATAGTAGTCCCCCCTCATCCACAGAAGGATACGTTCTAAGACCCCCAGTGGAAGCCTGAAATCGTGGATGGTACTGAAGGCTACATAAACTGTATTTTCTTATACAAACACACCTATGATAAAGTTTAATTTATAAAATAGGCATGGTAAGAGATTAACAACAATAACTAATAATTAAATAGAATAATTATAACAATATACTGTAATAAAAGTCATGTGAATGTAGCCATTCATTTCAGGGTTCCCTGGCTGAAATCTTAGTATAGGTTCAATGTTTTCTGGCGCAACACACAGCCATCAAATTAGAACACGTTTTCTGTTCAGGTCTTCCAAATTTAATGCCTTTTTCATCTTAACTAAGCACTTATGTACTGTGGCTGTAACTTTTGCAGTTTGAGGTGTGACAGTAAAACTTCTTTACAATTTCATAAATAGAAGGCTCATTCTTACCATTTATCTTAGCAACTTCAGCATATGACTTTTATTCTTTCCTTATTAAGTCAATAACTTTCACCTTTTCACTTAAAGGAAACATTTTACAGCTTCTCTTTGGCATATCCGAATTGCCAGCATCACTATTCTTGTGCTTTGGGGCCATTATTAAGTAAACTAAGAGTTACTTGAACACAAGCACTACAATAGGGGGATAGTCAGCCATGACAATCAATCTGACAACCCAGAGGGCTACTAAGTGACCAACAGGAGGGTAGTGTATACAGCATGGATACACTGGACAAAGGGATGATTCATGTCCAGATGGGATGGCACAAGATCTTATCACGCTACCCAGAACGGTGCACAATTTAACTTATGAATTGTTTATTGAACTTTTTATTTCTGAAATTTCCCATTTAATATTTTCAGACTGAGGTTGACCTCAGATAACTGAAACCACAGAAAGTGAAACCATGGATAAGAGGGAATTATTGTATAGAATAAAAGGCAATGTTGGCATTATTGGTCAACTAATAAAATAAATACAAACAGCCCACCTAAACAGTATTATAAATTCCACACAAAGCCTGGGCACCCTTCCAAAGAGAAAGTGTAATTAGGTCTCTGTCTAATCTGTACTTTCCTGAAGATCTTATTTTTATTTTGGCTACCTGCACCGAGGCTAAAAGAAATCAAGCTTTGCTTTGGACAGAGTCAGGCATAGTGCCATCAGCACTTCATGCAATCGCCCACAAGGGGTCTCTACCACTCTGGCTTTCAAGCCTTAAGTCACTCAGGCTGGGATTTAACAGATTTGCCTAGTACTTTGGATCAGGGCCCTCTGTTGTTCTCTAACTGGCTGTTTTTCTTGCCCAACATCACCATTTACTTCCCTTTGCTACACAATCACTGTGTTGGAAAAGTCTACACTCATACACATCTCACCCAGGACCAGGGGCTCCAAGCAGAGGCCCCTTAGGGGCATACCAGACCCTCCCACAGCTTTCCTATTCAAGAGCTGAGTCTAGGGGAGGTCCACAAACAGAACAGGAACAGGAAGGATCAGTATATGTAAAAGAAATACAACAAACAAACAAAAACAGGCCAATCCTCTACAACCAAAGAGCTGTGAAACTCTAGGACAATTAGAAGGGCACAAACTATTCCGTAGCAAAACCCAAAAATCCAGGACCCTGGGTAGTAACCAAGGAGAGACCAAAAGTGAGAGAGTTCAACAGGATAATGATCCACCTCTTCTGTGGAACTTTCTCAGACATTCAGAAAAGGGAGAACTTCTCCCAGTTCCACTGAATAAGCCTTAAACTGCAGTGATCTTCATATTTATCATTCCACAAATACTTTTTACTTGTGAAGTATTAATATTCAGTTCTACCTTTCTTCAGTTTTTATTGTTTAACCATTCATGTCTTCAAATGTAGACCTATACATTTCAGGACATCTATTTTTTGTCTAGAAGTGCCCAGAAGGCAGGAATACATCTTTCTTACTCTGAAGGATACTAGGAATATCAGTTCAGAGCCATTGGAAGTATTAAGAATGTGTATTTTCACAATTTTAGGTAAGGAGGTACTTAGAATAATCTAACATGAAGTCTCAATTCTAGGCTAAAGGGTTTTATGTGGAGTCTCTGTAACCTCTTTGGAGCAGTGGAGAACTCAGGTTATAATCAGAACCAAAATTAAATTATCTTGGGCTGACTTCTCTGTCTCACTAATTATACCCTCCAAAGTTTAGTCCCTTCTCACTATAGAATCCATCAAAAAAACACAGGTAAGACTTACTGCGGGTCACAGTGACACTGTACTTGGTGTCTTCCTCTGTAATCTCAACTTTGAGGCAGGTTTTTGTGCTGTATAGTCCCAAGTTAACATAGGTGTCATTCAACTTCTCTTTTAAAAAGGAGGAAAAAAAGTTCCAAACACTAAACTGCTCTAGCTCCTTTAGCTTCTCCTCATTCTCCGCCTGGGTGACTCGTACCAGCTTGGAACTATTTACCCGGATCTGTAACACAAAATCAGGATGAGTTTTTCACAAATACAATTTTAAAAACACACAAAACTTTACAGTAAATATCTAAATCAGAATTGGCATTAGTTTTCCACAAGGCTTATGAGAAATATAGAGATGCAGTGGCTAAAAGATAATTGGGCAAATAACATTGCACGTGGTACAGAGAGGCAGCTATTAGAATGTCTTGTTGTTAACATGATCTGAATCTACTATTAGGCCAGAATATAAGGAGAAAAAAAGACTTCCACAATACAGCTATTTATGAGAACATACAAAGCAAGGGTCTAGAATATTAAGAAAATTGCCAGGCATAAAGAGCCCCAAAAATGTTTCCCATAATGACAGGCTGAAAAATTCAACCCTTTGTCACAAATCACTGATTATGGGTACATGTTGGTTATAATTTGCCCCAGGTGGAATATGATCTTCATCTCAGACAATAAAAAAAAAAGAGAATTAAAAGAAGAAACCCACAAGCCCACCCTTATGTTTTTGATGTGAATAACAAATGCCCTTATCAGTAACTATGCTTATGGCGGTAGCAACATTTTCAAAAGGATTCATTTTGTTCAATTATTATTACAGCCAGATTTGCTTTGCCAGGTGGTTTAATGGTGCTGTGAAATAAATGAGACCAAAGTCATTCATTCTATCAAGGGGAAACTTCAGTTCAGGAGGTTTATGAAACATCCTGTGTAGAATCAAAATAGGAGCAGCAAGGCAAAAGAGTTTACATCCTCACAAGCACACAACAGTTTCCAGGCCAAAGAAGGCATAAGGTCTTTAAAAAGAGAGGGATGTGTGTGTGTGGGGGGGGGGAGAGAGAGAGAGAGAG